ATTTTCGTCACTGTGAGGCACAGGTCTCATCGCAGATGGTATGTTTGGGTAGTTAATAACCGATTTTTTTTTCTTGGACATACCTGTGGCTTGTCCAACACAAGGTACCATGCAAAAGTAACAATCATTAATATGATTTGTAGGCTCTCTCCAAACCATTGGGACAGCAAAGCGCATAGACCGTTTTTTGCCATTTAACCAGCTCCTCAGACTTGAAGCACATGTATTACAGCAGACGTGGGGTGCCCACTGTTTGTCTTGATCACCTAGTTTACAACCGAAATAAAGCTGATATGCCTTTGTTATTAGTGGGGTAATAGACCGTCTTTGAGACGCAAAAGTCACATCACCACACACGTAACAGAACTGATCTGGATTGTTTACACACTTTCGAGACATCTTGCATGAACGCTGTCAGCCAACTGAGGAAAAAATGGCTAATATAAAACAATATAATGTACACGTATGTATAACGTAACACAATCATGCCGATTACATCATCTTTCCTTGCCGAATATAACAATGTAGCACGTGCATTCTTGTGAATTACAGTATATTAACACTGTCACAGCAGGAACACATATAATTACCGTATCTCTAAAACTTGAACTAATATTGAAAAAACAAGTTTCATTCCGGTTTTAGCACATTAAAAATAGTAATATTTTGTTGATTTTATTTAGGATATTTTTTGGCTGTTGATCAGTGTTACCACTACAATTAAGGTACATATCCCATTGTTTCATCAATAGATGTATATACCCTGCTTAAAGAACTGGCCGATGCTTGAAGAATTCTTTTACGGCGTTTTGTACTTCATCGTCCCACTGAAAAGGCTTATCTTTGAACGCCTTTTTCTGGGATCCAAAGATGTGAAAATCGCAAGGCGTTGAATCGGGACTGTAGGGTGAATACTCTAATATCCTCCACTTCTTTCGTTGTAGATTTTATTTCATTACTCTGGCAACATGAGGCCGAGCATTGTCGTGCAGAAGAATGACACCAGGTGGGAGCTTCCCTGGACCTTTTCGACTTATTGCTTGATGGAGATTGTTCAAAGTTGGCCGCAAATAAAATTGTTTCCAAACCAAACCTGATCAAAGATGAGTTTCAATTGAACAAGCCTCGTACTTCTCGTACGTTCTGTAGAAGCAAAAGCTGTCATACACAGCGTGCATGTATAAACACTAAGATACAATGAGCAGATCCGTCCTGTCAGAATACGTAAGCGTACGCCACCTAGCGAACAATGCTTTCCGGAAACAACAATAACTTCCCGCCCGGAATATCCTATGAACTATCCGGACAGCACTTAACTAGAGAACGCAATTTAATTATAAATACGCGCCTTTGCATTAGTCAAGTCCCGGAGTGGATTGTTACAGACGTTCAAATTGACCGAACAGATCTGCTGATAAATTTCCGGAGCATTGTCCCTGGGAGATCCATCCAGATTGTTGTGTTATGGACGTAGGACGGCGGTCTCTCCTAAATCCTAAGTATTTATCACCGTGACTGTTTTAATAATGGGTCGGTCTCCAGCATCCAAGATACACTTAGGTCGCCAGAGATGCTAATAAGTCTTTATAGTATTTTCCAAATTAAATGTAATAGCGTCAAGGGTCTTGGGAGGGACGCAACGGCTTGTCCCTTTGTGGAGACGCGTTATGCCGTATGATAGCCTAGGATAAAGATATGGCTTGGGAAGGATTCGGAATTTGAATTATATGGGTACGAATACCTGAAAACTTAATTAAAAACAATGGGCGTCAAATAAGTTCACTCTGCACTATCCACGCAACGCTGTCAACAGTTCGTAAGGTTGTGTTGGTTTCTCAATTGCCTGTTTGGATCAGTATCCTAAAACATTCTCATGTGTAGGGAAAGTAGGATAAGAAGTACCGATTTTAAAATTTTTGACCACTGTAATTAAACTCTGTATTATTATTATTATACAAGCACAAATAAACATTTAACTTTCTATGAATCAAAAGTTCAACTGAATACTAATAATAATAATAAAATGTCTTTATTAGGCATATTATATAAACTACAACATAATGTGACCTCTACGTAGGCGAAGTCTAGCTCTTGGCTACTCTACTTAACCTACCCAAATAATAAATTGAAATACTTAATCAAAGGACACTTTGACAAGCAGCAAAAGACGCTTCAAAACAATGAGCTTGATAGCTTCCTGACATACATAATATATACACACATATATTACGTAAAAATAAAATAAAATATAAGAATTAAAAACTAACTTTTCCACAATTACTACGATGACAAATAAATCTGTTTCACATGCTTACGAAATCTGTTTACTGGCCAATCCTTTATATTGTCATCTAATACGTTATAAATCAGGATAACATTGTAAGTGTATGAACTACGAAATAAAGTTGTTTTATACATAGGGATCTCTAGTCTTTTTTTGTGTCTGAAATCAATGTCTGAATTATTTCGTCTGAAAACAAATTTCTCATAAAGATACAAGGGGGATCGAGAAGATATGATCTTATGTGTAAACACTGCTATATGGCACTTGCAAGCATTTTCTATACACATCCAACCAAGCTGAAATCTCTTTAAGGAAACATGATCATACTTCTTGAGATTAAATACAAATCGACAACAAGTATTTTGGAGTTTTTGGAGTCTTGCTTTTGTGATAGAATACAGTGCTACAGTAAAATAAGCTTGGAAATATAATAGCCTCACATAACTTTTTTCTAACTTTAAAATTCAAAATAGAGCGATTGACATAAAAACACTTCAAAGTTGCATAACATTTTTTTAAGATAGACGAAACATGCTATTTCAACCGTAAAGTATAATCAATAATCAACCCTAAATTTTTTGTAGTATTTACAACAGCTAGACGCTCCTTGTCAATTTTTACATCAAGAGAATACAATATAGTGTTACGTTTGACAGCAGGACAAAAAAGCATCACTGAGCACTTATCCTTATTGAGCTTAAGATTGTTACCATTTGAGTATCCGATTATTGCCTCCAAATCATCATTAAGCTCATTGATTGAAGTATGTAACGTGTTACTATTAAAGCTCTTATATATCTGTGTCTCATCGGCATAGCACATCACAGAAGAGTTTTTCACAGAGCTACCCAAGTCTATAGTATAAATTAAGTACAACAAGGGCCCTAAAACTGAACCCTGAGGGACACCTGATGTTATATCAATCGGACTAGATATAGTGTTGTCTATCTCTACTACTTGTTTACGATTTGAAAGATATGTTATAAAAAACATTAGAGGTATGTCTGAAAAACCAAAAAACTTCAATTTAGCACATAAAAGCTCATGATCTATTTTATCGAACGCCTTAGAATAATCTAATGATACAAGTGCTGAAGCATCTCCCTTATCAAGCGAAGCAATGATGTCATCTAAAACCCTTGCTAAAGCTGTAGTTGTACTAAAACCACTGCGGAAACCAGATTGACACTTGGGAAAGAAATCATTATTAGAGAAATAATGATAAAATCAATTTCTCCAATATCTTCGATATAACAGGAATCAAAGTTATATAGACAAGAGATAGTTTCCAAGCATCAGGAAAATACCCAGCCTCCAGGCAACAGTTCAATAAATGCGTCAATGATAGTAGTACTCGAGGCAAGCAATGCTTAAGCATTGAGACTGTTATACCATCCGAACCTGCTGCATTAGATTTTAGGGACAGAATAATATCTAGCACATTTTGTGGGGTAGCAAAACTAAATTCAAATCTAGCACTTTCATTAATTTTGGTACTATTAAATTTATCAACTAGATCATTGCAATTGCCCGAAGGTGTGAAAATGGAAGAAAAATAATTGTTTACTTCATCGGCATTTTTCAACTGCGTAGGTAAAGATCTATCTACATTAGTTTTGAGTTTCAATGAATGTACAGCTTTCCAGAGATGCTTGTTACTATTTAGTTGTTCATTGAAGCTTAGATATGCTGCTTTCTCCCGCCTAATAGCGGAAATGAGATCATTTCTTAATTTCTGGTAATATTCGAGACCAGCTGGACTTTTAAAATCTGATACTTTCTGAAGGCTTTATCTCTCTCAGAGATCAAAAATTTTATGCCACCTGTGAGCCATGGAGCATAAGGTTTAGTAATACGTGCTGAAACAACAGGAGCATGGACATCAAACAAATCCAAAATATGATTAGAAAAAAACGTAGCTTTATCCTCTAAGTTACTGATGTAATATATATCATCCCATGGGATTTTATACAAATCCACCAAAAACTGATCTTTTCAACAATGTTTAAAGTCTCTATATTTGATAGTCTTTTGAAAATTCTTAGGTCGTGTGATGTTGAAGTCACATCTGACTACATTATGATCTGACAAATTCGGAACAGGTGCAGAGCTAGTTGAAATTAATGATTCAGCTAAGTTATTTGTTGTACAAATGACATCTATGGAGGTTGCCGTGGTTAAAGTTATCCTAGTTGGTTGGGTGATGTGAGATACCATATCGTAATCAAACAACATCTTAAGCAAAAAATACAAAAATAGAAACAGGTTGGTTTAATCGTACAATCAGTTTTTAAATCGTACCACTAATTTTTATTTACAGTTCTCACACACTATTTTTTTATTTGTTTTCTGGTTCCTGCACATGATGTGTGTGCCCATTTTTCACATTTAATACCTACATCTCACCATATCTTCAATAATGTTCTCTTCACATATAGAGCAGTACCAATCAGTAGGATCATATTCAATATGAACCTTTACCTCGGCAGATTTTGAAGTGGAACATTGACCGTCACGTGCTTCAAAAGGATAAGTAGAAGAAAGCTCAAGATTTTTTTTTACATTTTTTGGTTGATTTTTGCGTTACGTTTGTTTTCTAATTCATCCGTATAGAGCGTGGTGCTCAGAATGACGGCTGGTTGAGAAAATTTTAGTCTCTTAGCGTAACCTTTATTCTCGGGTAGAGGGTAAATTTCTTCGATAGAGGTATTGAGATCTATTGTGTTCCAATTTTTGTCTTGCTCAGTACTATCACTGTGAACTGGTAGCTCAGTAGCATCGGCTTTAGGCTCAGGAGTCGTTTCAGTAAATTTTCTGCCTCACTTGCATTTTCTGAACCATCTTCAAGCAAGGCGTTAGCAGCGATAAAATCTATCTCAGAAAATACAGTGCAGTCAACCGGCCATATTCCAGTTCTCTTGAAACCGTTCATGATAGTGCTTATTGATGCTGTTTTAGCATAGGCATCAGAGAGCAATCCAGTCATGTTGTATTGAAAAACGGTGTTACCAGGATTGATTCTGAAAAACGTTTCTAGACCTTGAGAAAAATAGGATTCCATAAAAGAGCTCACGTCTAACGGCTGCAACCGATTTGTAGTATGGCCAGGAAGCTGCAGTAGTACAATTCCATGACTTTTTGCTAAAATGAGTGCCTCTAGATTTTTAGAGTACGTTGTGTGGCCATCTAGTAAAAGTAAAACTTTTTTTCGGTACTTGGTTTTACGTACTCAATGAAGTGCTGTAACCATTTAACAAAATGTTCACTCTCTATACAGGGTGACTTTGAAGTTGAGTCATTAATTTTCAGATAATGATTGTAGAAGGAAGATAAACCAAAATATGTGTGTAAAAATAAAAAAAAAATTAAAAAAAAATTTTACCTTGTTTTATAAAGTAGCCTCCCGACAAGTATTTCAGTGCGGACCTGTATTTGATCGTGAGGTCTTGGAGCACCGGCATGCCGTCCATATGTGAGGTCTTAAGTCAAATGATTCACGAGCCCGTTGTACTACATTAACAAAGGCACGAGGGGTTGGTTGCACTCGATTGGGAAACCGATCCGCATAAACATGTGCCATTTTTTTATTTCGTTTGAGCCACGCAACAGACACCACTATCCACTACCGACTGACACTGACTGTATACAACTGAATGAAATAATTGTAAAAACGTTGTTCCAAATTCTTTCGCTTTTTTGTTTCCGATGCGATGAACCGATAAGGCGGATTATATCCGTTGTCGCCAAACACGAGCACATAATATTATTATTGAGACAGGGCGGTACTCAAACTTTCAAAGGGCTATAACTTTGTTACTTTAATTTTACCAGAAAAATGGTAACGGAAAAAAACATTTCTTTTGATCAGATCTACTCACTGTTAAAATAAATGACTCAACTTCGAAGTCACCCTATATCCAGTATCTGAAATTGTAAAAATAGTGCCAGGTATTGCACCTATGGTAAGCTCTGGAGCCTTACGTACATCTTAAAAATTATCATTTGCGGTACAGTTTGACCGGCAGCACTGACACAAACGACAACTGTGGTATTTACGCCCCTTTCACCACTTGCTTTACCTCCAACTTGGTGCTTTCCTCTACGTGCAATAATTTTTTGCTTCCGGTTCTGAACTGTTTAAAATCCACTTTCATCAACATTATAAATTTTTTGAGCCGTAAAACCGTTTTCATCAACACATTTTTCTAAAATGTCGAAAAACTTATGGACGTTTTCTTGGTTGAATCCAGTTGCTCTGACCATGGAGACTTTCTTTGGTTGTCTACGTAACAGTTCAGGATGTCGGTCCATAAAACGATAATACCATCCTTTTACCGCCATTTCCTTATTGATATTGAAACTGTGTGGAATATCATTCCCGAATTGTTACACCAAAACATCTTTCTTCCAGCTTTAAAATATGTTTGTTCCCAATTCCTTTTCAATTTCAGGGCTAAAAGTTGTGTGTCGACCCAAAGACTAAACATTTTCATTTGCCTTTTTATTTAAAGAGCACAACTGCCTTCTAGAAGTCGGCTTTGGAATGTTATAACGTCTGCAGCACTCATTAAAACCACACTGGTTTTGTTTGTATGCATTAATCGCATGGTCCATATCTTCTGAGGTCCATCGACAGTATTCCAGTTTTCTTATTTTCTTATTCCTTACTTTACTCATCTTCTCTTTTAAAAAAACTGTAATAAAAACTTTATTGAAAATCGCAGCAAAGAGCCTCAGTTGGATAAATCGTACCGGTATGATTTATAAAACCGTGGGTGGTACGATATACAGAACAAGCACGAATTTATGTTTATCAATTAAATTTCAACCTAAATAAACCCTTTTTCAATTAATTATTACAGCAACAACTAACTACATGTCCATAAAATACGTAAAAAACATATCTTACAAATATCTACTTACCAAAGGTAAATAAAAGCTTATGAGTAGGAGCCAAAAATAACATGAACAACACTGCTTTTAATTTAACCTCAAACTACCTTAATGATGACTTAAAAAGAACGTTTTTAATTTTTTGTCAAAAGTGCATTTTTGTGCATTTTTTCACACAATAAATATTCGTACAGCTCTTAAACTGTACGTTAAGATTCTACTTTTATAGGAGAACTGAGCGGATCATTACTTCTAGTCTTATCACTTCTTTTATTAGAAAAATCTATGATTTTTTCAAACCTTGCTTTGCAACACTACTAAAGCGTTTATACAACATATACAGGGTGATTCACAAGTTAAACAGAGGACTGGATTTTGAGGAGGGTCTTCCATGTAACATTTTTTCCTTGAGGGCTTCATTAAAAAGATACGGGGCTTGAAGTTTAAGAATAAAAAACTTTTTCTTCTAATATCTTCAAAACCGTCAACTGGAATGAACTAAAATTAGGTATGTGGACTTACCTAAGTATTGTCCACATTCAAAGGTCTTTACTTGATAGTAACGTGCACCAGTGGCGGTGATACAGGGGATTAGTGGCATTATTTTTCCAAATAAAAATACTTCGTCACTGTTTTTCCCGAACCGCGAAGTTTTTCGAATTTTCGAATTGCACCTTCAATTTACTACTAATAATTATTCTTGTGCTTTTTTCCTAGAGTGCATTAGATAATCAAAGCTTTATTTCAATAAGTGTTCAAAAAGACTGCTATTCTGGCGGATACAAGTGTGGCATCTTTTTAATAAAGAAACACGTATTTCCGCAAAATTTGTTGTGGATTCAACACCAAATTAATCACTTCCAGTTCTTCTTGAACAGTACACCATGGCCTCCAGCTCTAGGAAGTTTGGCAGTTCCAAGTCTTAGAAAAGAATGCGTAAAAACCTTTGCGGTAGGTTGGCGCCTGTTAGGAAATCTAGGTTGATACTCCTGAGAATCCGCTAAAGCATTTCCATTACAGAACTCGTACACAAAAATAATACCGGCGTACTCGTCATTGCTTGCAAGTTCCATTTCACAACACCCAAAAATGGAAAAAGAAACTTTTGACTTGACTTTTACAAATAAGAAATGGTAATAGTAACGATAAGAACCGTATAACGCATAAATAAGACAAATTATCTTCCAAGAAAGGACAAGTTGGTATCAAGGCCTCCTATTTTATCCTGAAACTAATTGTTTCTCCGTTCTTCATAAATGATCTAATTTGTTTTATCTTTATTTTCACGGAAACAGTGCATTCTAGGAGAAAGAGCGCAAGAGTAAATATCTGTAGCAAATTAAAAGTAAAACAGTGACATACTATTTCTATTTGGAAAAATAGTGCTATTAATCACCTGTATCTCCGCCACTGGTGCACGTCAATTTCCAGTAAAGACTTTTGAATGTGGAAAATAATAAATCCACACACCAAATTTTAGTTTATTCCAGTTGACACTTTGGAAGATATAAAACTTCAACACCCCGTATATTTGTAATGAAGCCCTCGAGGAAGAAATTGCGGTCCTGTGTATGATGTTCCATTTCTCGTTACGGCTTGTGAACCACCCTGTATTCATTGGCGATATTGACAGAATATAAAAGTGCTCTTTCAAGATGGTTTGATTCTGAACCTAGATATGAAACGTAATATTATTTCCGCCTGTCATAATATCGACGCTCATATATCCATATGCTCTCAACTCCTCTTCCACGTCTCCCTGATGCCATTCGATGAACAATAATTCAATTAATGGAGTTAGAGCACGTTATTCACCAGTTCGCCAGTCTTAACCTTTTATCCGGATTCGTATAGGATGACACGGCAGAAATCTGACAATCATCTAGCAGGGCCTCCACTCATGTCATCCCGAACAACGGCATGATATATGGCTTTCGGTAATGTTCCTGAAATATTACTCTTGCCAACTGTTAGGCTATTATTTTTTAGTACAGTGCAGTAGTCGATATGCACCAGGAGAAAGTTTGGGAGATTTGGACCCGAGGTTTGTTCTTAGATAATAATAATAATGTTTATTGGTCCAATTACAAAGTTTTCGTACAAATAATAACGGCAATGTCCAATAAACATAATATACCCAAAAAAGTGTATACTTGTGCTTGGGTTTAAACCGAAGTTGAGTTATATTAATACAATAAATTTTCTTTAAGTATACTAGTCAAATGTATAAATTTGCATCATTTTATAATCAAATAACATATAGGTTTTTAGTGTCAACAAACTTATGGAGTTGTAGCCTTGGTTGATTTAGGATCCATGATTTTAATTCAATTTTTAAACGTTTTTTACATTTTACATGTTTTAGGTTTGCAGGAATAACATTATAAAATTTTGAGCATAGAAAATAGAATGATCTTTGGCTGATAGTCTTATTAAGTCTAGAAATTAGTGCAGAGGTTTCCTTGAATCGCGTTTGATGGTTGTGGCTGATAGAAAATAACAATTTTGGATTTTTTGTAAATATATTATTGTATGATAAAAATAAATTTGCCGGCAGTCGATAAGCTGAGATTTATTGTAAAGATTTTCTGTGGGACAACATTTCTTTTTGTTCAACATAACTTTCAAAATCCACTTCTGCGTAATTGCAATCTTTTTATAATAATTAGCCCCCATGCTAAGATTCCGTAAGATAGCAATGATTGAACAAGGGTATCATATTATATCATGTGTACATATTTTTCGCTTAAAAAACTGCTGAAATGTTTGACTTTCGGAATAAGGTATCTTAATTTTCGTACTAAATTTTCAATATGTTTATTCCATGTTAGATGGTTATCTATGAATACCCCTACGTATTTGAAATTATCAACCGATTGTATGTTTCGACAGCTATTCAACGTTTTAATTTGGAGTTGATTAAAATTTGGGGAACATCTGCTGTCGCAAGAAAATGTAATAAAGTATGTTTTGTTGAAATTGACTTTTAAAATCCTTTCCGTGAAAAAATTTGTAACCTTTTGAAAATCTAATACAATTTTTTAAAGAAGTCCTATCTTTGTCTGAGTAAATAATTGCCGTATCGTCTGCGAAAACAATAATTTCTCCATCGTTTTTTAACTTTTAAGGGTGATTAATATATGAATTAAACAACATTGGTCCTAATACGGTTCCTTGTGGAACTCCGCATCTAACAATCATATTTTCACTACGTGTACTGTTGATGTTCACACATTGTGTCCTGATTTCCAAATAACTTTTCATGAGTTGATAAGTGACTCCACGAAATCCTAAACTTTGCAAGGTTCTTAATAATTTTTGATGTGTAATACTATCGGTCTACAAAAATGCATGCTGTTGACTTATTATTATCAAAGTACTTGTAAATTTTGGTTGTTAACTGAATAAGTGCATCTTGACTTGATTTTGCTTCCTGGAATCCATATTGCTCTTCAGATACCAAAACAGTTTCTTCTTATTTTTTTAGGTAACGAGTTTGCGTTCATAAGCATATTTGGGCATTGTGTAAGGTCCTGGAGAGAAGACTAGGGAAGGATCGATGAGACATATAATCCTGTGAATGGCCACTCGTTCAAAACCGTTGCCACAATGATCTCTTGAGAGGTAGTATCCTCGAAATGTTACTATTAATACAGGGCTTTGAGAGATCGCAATATACCTTCTTTACTGTTAGGACTCGTTGGTCAAAGGTATCCCGCACTTCTTGGGTATGGCGTTTTTCAAGCAAGTCAGGCTAGTCGAATTCAGACAGGGCTTGGTTAAGAGCTGGAGGGAAGATAAAAGTGTGCAGTGGTCTGATTTGCCAAAAGGTGGCAAATAATCTAAGCTAGAAGCAAATTCCTAGTCGTCTGTCTCTGAACAAGTTGAGGTATGCTTGAGTTACGTAACAAGTTAATGTGAGCAGCGAAAGATGAATTGCTTACGCCACCGCGGAGTGCGATAATTTATTTGGGTTTGGATTGATTCATGATACAGCACATTTCACTGATGGAACATAAAATCCATTCAGGCCGTTTGCCCTGGTATCTAGATACACTCATAGATACTAAATACATATTTTGAAAACCCGTGGTGGGAAGTTTTCAAATGAACACCCTGTATATTATGTAGTAGTATAATATGCTGGCTCTGTGTGCGGTCCTAGTTTGACGTATACAGAAGGTGCAAAACTGTTACAAGAGGTATACCTATCCACAGGCAAAGTAGATTTGAAAGAACATATTTTTATAATAAAAGCATTCATTAGCTTACGATGAGACAAAGACGGACTTATATCATAATCTGCTCGGTTAAATCGGTCTTCTAAGGAAACAAGCATGAAAAATCTTTGACAACTGACATCCATGATATTCCTTTGAGATGTGTGGGTCACACTTTGGATGTTCCCAAACACAGAACAGCAGCTTTTCCAAATCTAGCATCTGATTTGTACAACAAGATTCCTCCAGCTCTTAAAACCAAGTCTCTCAGTGATTTTATAGCTGGAATCAGTGGTCTGATACTAGCCACTAATTTTGTTTAATTTTATTTGATGCTATGACTGTGACTATTCAAGTATTTTGCTTGTGACTCTTATGTCTTGTCTATGTACGTGTATCATTTTTTCAATAATATTAATTCCACTATGTATTGTTTCACTTCTTTTTTTGTAATTCTGTGGTGAAATATGTAGTTTTTTGAAAATTGTATACATGTAGCCCTGATTAGACAGCATTTGCTGATTTTCCGCCAGGTAAAAATAAAGGCTTTTTTATTGTTAGTATCATTATGTGTCAAATCGAACTAATAAAAATATGAGTTCTTGAAATATTTTGAAAACGGCATGGAAAGCTGTTAAAAAAGAGTCATTACATACATGAGATGTATAGTTACTCTTGTATATTACATACCGTGTTAGAGAAGTATGCCGTTATTGGCAGAGTACTTTTGCACATAATATGTGGTGAAAATAATGGCATTCTCCATCGGGGTGTGTAGAGAATATTTAGCACCTTTACTTTCATGATACTTTGAAATATAGCATATCTAACAAATACCTTAAGGTCCGGCAACATTGTCAGATAAAGCCGACGCAGCTTCGGCGCAGAG